TGGAGGAGGAGGGGAGTGAGAGTGGAGGAGGAGGGTGGTGAGAGTTGAGGAGGAGGGGGGTGAGAGTGGAGGAGGAGGGGTGGGATTATGGTGGGGGAGAAGAAGTTAAGGTATAAGGAGAGAGAGGAAGAGGAGGATAAGCGAAAACGGAAGTGCTAGGAGGCGGAGGAGAGGGACGGGGAAGAGAAGAAGAAGAGTGAGAAGTATGAGAGGGAGGAGGAGGACGAGGAGGAGGAGGAGGAGAAGAAGGAGGAGTAGGAGGAAAGGGAGAAGGATGAGAGGGATGAGAAGTGTGATGGAGGAAGAGAAGAAGGAGGAGAAGAGGGAGAAAGATTAGCATGGGCAGAAATTGGGGGGGGGGGGGTGAGGGTTAGAGAAGAAAGAGAAATGGCTTTTAGAGTGAGGATTGAAGGATATGAGAATGAAAAGGAAGAGAGAGGAAAGATTAAGGAATGGAAAGAATGGACGAAGAAGAGGATTACGAGAAGAGGTGAAGAATAAGGAGCAAAGCGTGAGAATAGTCATAGTGGATGCATCAATATCCTTAACATTGTTGAGCAGAGGTATGGAAATACGCACGTATAGTGTAGTTTGATGTTCCTAAATTCGATAAGAGTAGGCTTCGGCCGCCACCCAGGCAAAATGCAAAATCAATTCCTACCAAACTGAAATTAGGGAAAGGTGGAAAGTGTTTGTTCATGGCCTCTATCCTGATCCAGGGTGAGAAAGGGGCTCTCGTAGCCCACAAGTTAAAGTGTTCGCCTCTCATTAAAATGCCCCGGGTTCGAATCCGGGTAGCGACGGAAATATTTTCTTCTCTAAAATTGTCTCCTTTCACATTCTTTCCTGCTCTCCAACAATGTTCTGTCGTCTGCTTTCGTATCCACTTTGTACTTTTTGCCCCCACCCCCTCACCCCCTTTGCCCCCTCCTCTGGGCTCCTGACTCTTTCTGCAGCCTCTCTACTGCTACTCCTTAGCTCCTTACTGCTGTCTTTCAGCCGCACCCCTGATCTTCTGGAAGGAAAGATCTACACCTAACCTTCTCGGACAAAGGCAAAAAATTGCGGAGGTCCTGTGTGCAAGTTGCCCACGTTAAAGATCCCTTGGTGGTCTAAAATTGATAAGAGTAGGCTTCGGCCGCCACCCAGGAATCATTCAAAATTTCCTTCCAACAGAAAATGACGTGTGTCCCGCGCGCTCATATGATCTTATGCAGTTGCGAGCGCCGTAAAACACTTAGCCTACAAAAAAAATACAAAGAAAAAAACCCACCCAAAACAAAATTGAAATTATAGAAAGCTGGAAAGAGGTTTTTTTCGTGGCCTATATCCTGATCCAGGGTGAGAAAGGCAATGATGATGATAATGAAACTGAAATTGTTAAACGTTTCCAGCACGCTTATGTGACTTTATTCAGTTGTGAGTGCTGTAAAACACTAGCCAAAAATATGAATAAATTAATAAGTAAAGGAATAAATAAATACATTAGTAAATAAATAAATACGTGAATAAGTAAATAAATAAATGAATAATACAACAAAACAAAACAGAACCAAAATAACAACTAAAAAAACCCACACAAAAACGCCAATTCTTACCTGAGGAAGCCAACTGACAGAGCAGCACAAGGACGGAGAAGAGGAGGAACAGGTGAGTAGGATTCATCACTGGCTGTCTGGTCGACACACGAGTCTCTCACTGCTCACTGCTTGTTTCACCTTCTGTTTCGTTTTGTATTGTTTTGTGGTGTTTTTGCTTATTTTATTTTGTTGTTTTTTTTGTTGGGTTTTGTTTTTTATTTTCCTTCCCACGCAACAAACTGCAATAATAATAATAATAAAAAGAATAGATATTTTACTATACGTTCATGTGTCCATATAAGAATTAACGGTGGTCTATGCATTTTTTTGCTTGCCTTTAAACGTTTCGGATACAGAAAAAGAGAAATGGAAAAAAAATCTGGATGAATTCTAAGAAGTCATAGAGGACTCTTGTGGTCTAGAGGTTACATACGGCGTTCGCCTCTCTTTCATTTGGTCCCAGGTTCGAAACCTGACACTGATTGAACATTCTCTTCTTAAAAAATTGCTCTGCAACCATGTTCTGTCGTCTGATTTCGTATCCACTCTCTGACCACCCCCACCCCCCACCCCTTTTCCCCTTTGCCTCCTCCTCTGGGCTCCTGGCTCTTTCTGCAGCCTTTCTACTGCTACTCCTTAGATCTTTACTATTGTCTTTCAGCCACACCCCGGATTTTCTGGTAGGTAAGATCTAGCACCTAGCCTTCTCGGAAAAGGGCAACAAAAAAACTCGGAGGTCCCGTGTGCAAATTGTGCACGTTAAAGATCACTTGGTGGTCATAGAGTCGAGAAGAGTAGGCTTCGCTCGCAACCCGGGAACAAATTCAGAATTTCTGCCAGGCTGGAAATGTTTAATTAATGTTTCCCACGCGCTCATATAATATGACATTATGCAGTTGCGAGCGCCGTAAAACTCTTACCTAAACGAAACAAAACAAAAAGAGAATTGAAGAAAAAAACCTGCCTGACATGAATTCAAAGCAGTCCTACTTCAAAATAGCGCGGCTTTTTAAGCGTTGCCAAATGGCCCAGATGACATTCTTTGAGTTTTCTTCTGCTTTTTAAAATCTTTTATTATATTTTTTATACTATTTTAATGTCCAGTGTCCTGACTATTTTTAAATTGCGTACAATGATGGGCCTGCATGGTGCATATTGCTATGCTTCAAGTAAAACAAAACAAGGAAAAGGAAAATTATTGTTTGTGATAATGATGATGATGATGATGATGATGATTATGATGATGAGGAGGAGGAGGAGGATGATGATGATGAGGATGATCATCTGATGATGATGATGATGATGATTGATGATGATGATGATGATGATGATGATGATGATGATGATGATGATGATGATGATTGGTAACGATTTTATCAACCAAGTTACTTTTCTTTCTACCTTTTGTCAGTAAATCAATCAAGACTCTCCGTACCTACTCAGCTTTCATCGTTGAAGCTGATGTTGGGGAATGATGTTGTGTCCCTCGTGGGTTCATACATTATTAGATCGGAGCATCGGTTGCTGTTGTCTATATATTAT